TACAGCATTCTGGTCACCTTTGATCATTACTGACTTTATTTTGTCATGGAATTCCTAGAAGAGGAGGAGGAGAGGTTCCGGGAGGACCAGTCGGGGCTCAGCCTCCTTAGTGCCTTAAGACGTTTATTGGGCATCCTGCAAACAGCGGCTTTCCGAACTGCGCTGCCGGGGGCGAGGACAACTTGAGCCCACCATGTTTCTCGGATGCTTCAACTTAAGGTGGCTTTTCCGTCAACGCCAGATTTCTCGGGATCTATAAAAAAAAACAAAAAAAACTTACTGACAGTCACTGCAGGATGATCGATCTCTCCACTGTGATTCTAGTGCCACTAACCTGTGACTTCCGTCTCATTTATAATAACCAATGTTAGTCTGTAGACAGAATGTCTCGTCGTTTCTCTCCAGGGTGTCAATCCTCTCGCTGTGAAACCTGTTGACGGGGACGGTAAGACTGGACCGAGGTGGATAATCCAATACAAAGAGCGCTGTTCACACTGTTCTTCCAACATCTGTAATATGATGCTATCTGAGGTCGGGTTTGTTTCTTGTTTACCGTTTGCGGCAAAGTCTCCTGTGTCACTTTCACGAGGGAACCTTTACGATGATCGCTCGCTGGCGGGACCTCCTTACGGCACGATGTCACCCGCGGCTCTCCAGCAGCAAGTTGCTAGGGAAGTGATGCAAAACCCGCCGGGGAATACTCGCTGCGACATAAAGATACTTTGCTAGAAAAATGTCAAAACGGCCCAAAATTTACAATGTATAGGAATAAAAGTTTTCACCCGCGTTCAGTCACAGGGGACATTTTACTTGCAGGAATGTTCAGAGATGACAGTATAGGTGACTTATTTTATGTGCAGAGTCCATAGATCAGACCAGAGCGCAGTAATACCCCAATTATCAGAGCAAGTCCTTCCTAACCCGCTATACTGAAGTATATAAATAAGCTGGAAGAAGACTCCCGGGGGTTAGTAATACGACACGGCGCCACATCTGCAGGAATTTTTACACAGGGGAATAGTTCTCCTTTAAGATACACCGCCTGCAAACAAGTAGATTAAATGGATCTTCTGGTAATCACTTCTTATATAAGAACATAAACAATAACAATGTAACAAAAAGATCTCATTGTAAAGATACGTTTTATCTACTTGCTTCGGTGTAGGTTCCCCCCAAAAGCCCGGCCTTTATGTATGGCCAAAACCTTTTTTTTTTGTGGCTACAGCAAGGAAGAGTTAAAAGCCCGATCAGAATATTCTATGCTGTTTGTGTCATGCTGGGGTGATATCCCTTCACTTCCTGTCTTGGTGAAGCAGCAAGTAAGAGGAACTCTCCCCAAGGTGAGAGGAAGTCCACCAGTACATCTGATGATTCCTCCTCACCTCTTGCTCTCATGACAACTATGAAGTGAAGGATTTTTTTTAAGTCTTAGCACAGAGTCTAACCCTTCCCCCCTCCGTACAAAAACATTTTCCTTTACATATATTTAGGGGGTCTATTTATAAATCAGTTTCCCTGCCAATCTCTGTGAACGTTTGCTCGGTGGAACTCGAATTGCCTAGCACAATGAACAGCCTATTTGCCTTTAGCAAACCAAACCCTGACATGTCTCCCTTTTCCAATACGCTCCTATAGCCAATGCCTTCTGCACAGAAATGACAGCCGTCATGCCGGGGTAGGCAACTTTGGCCTGCCAGCTGCGTGAATCTACAAATCCCGGCATGCCTGTGGCTGTCAGAGTTTTGCAATGCCTCATGGGGATTGTAGTTGCACCACAATGGGAGGGCCGAGGTTGCCAGCCCCTGGGTTAAATGAAATGATATGACAATATGCAGTTAAATAGTTATAGGAGAAGACATTAGAGGCCCGACTGGGTGATGGTCATATTTTGTCCATTGGAAACCAGTCACGGTTGGGCTTATGCAAGAATCCAGTCTCAAATTAGAAGTATTATGTACAAGTATATAAAAGTATATACAATGGTATACCTGTGATGAAATCTATCTGCCCCATTAGCCGGGCTGTGTCTGAGGAGGACTCTGGAGGTTCCT